TCAAGAGCAGTCTCACACAGAGCACCTTGCATTACTATCACATTTCCTATATCTAGTAGTTATATTGGAGATCTCAGTTAGCTTTGCCAGAATTAAATACAAGTTAAGCGATAACATAGTAAGGCTTGTAGCTGGAGGGGAGGGTCATAGAACCATACAAAGCAGGAGATTCCTTTATTTGATTACCTAAATTATTGGACCATTTTTCCTTAAGATCCTTCCAGAAACAAAATGTTCCCCCCATGAATCTTATTGAATGGAATTTGATCTCTTATAACAAATACTTGTTTACACAGTTCAGTCAGAAAATGCCAAATTTACAAACTACTGGTAAGTATATCATTATATATAGCTTATGAAACTGCTCCCACAAAAGATATCACAGATATGTCAACAGCTTTCTTAGCTTTGGCTGTAGAGCAAAGCTAGATCATTACTCTGAAATTTCTGATCCCAGGGAGAGCTATTCCACCAGTCTTTTTGTGGTTGGACACTTCAGTACCCTGGACAGATCCCAGCATGCTCCCCCACAGCTAATAATATTTTGAGCCCCGCTTTTATAGCCAAGTAAATTCCATATCCACCCCTCCTTTCATTCCCTGGATCCTTGCCCCCTAAATAAATAAATAAAAATAAATTGAGAATCTGTTTGGATCCTGAAAGAAGAATTATAACAAATTATAAATTATACCAAAGAACTATATTTAGGTATAAATTATACCAAAGAACTATATTTGGATCTACAAAATATCCCAGAGATGTAATTTGGGTTGCATTCATGAAGAATTCGGATCCCCCTCTCATCATGTAGTACATTTATACTTGGCTATATTCTAAAATATGGGCTACTAGTATCTGGCATATGAATCTGCCTTATACCAAGTCAGACTATTGATCCATACAGCTCAGTATTGCCTATTCTGTCTGACAGAGGTTCTCTAAGATCTCAGGCAGAAAAGGGTCTTTTGTAACACTTACTACCTGATATCCTTTGAACTAGATATGCCAAGAACTGCGCACTGGACTTCCTGCATACAAAACATGTGCTCTGCCATTGAACCATAGCTCCTCCCTCTTGTGGAAGGACAATTATAATCCCACCCTACTAGAAATGGGATCTGGATCATGGCATCTCATTTATTCCTAAAGCTATAGAGGTGCCATGTAAATGATACACTGAGCTTCTGTCACTGTGGATCTAAAAGAGAAACAAGAATACAGACTTCTCCCAGACTTACTGAAATCTTCAGCCATTTAACTACCTTTTGCTTCAACTACCTTTGTTTTGTGAGTATGTCCATTGTTTTGTGAAGAATGTTTTGTCCGTTTTCAGTCTACTGTGAGTCAGTTTCACTGGGTGATGAGTCAGAAGTATGTCTATTTCTTTGTGAGATCCACTATTTGGGAGTGAAACACTGATCCAGCAACAAACCAGAGTGTTGCTACGGAAATTCACTGTCTCCACATAATGCAATAGAAATATACTCAATTTTGCATCAAAATGGTGAGATACAGATGGCAAAATGTAGACATTTACATCCACTACAGAGTTCAAATCTCATCTTCTCAATTAGTTTTGGCATTTTTCCCCCTGAACATATCAAGTAGCAGCAATTGCCTCATTGCCAGGCGCACATAACACCAGGGGTTTCTTATACATTCCAAGCAGCATTAATTTGTGGGACTGTCTTTGCTGGAAGCAGGCAATTAATTTGTATTTTGCAGGGTTGGATTTCCCCCCTTTATCTGAGGACTGTCAGCTTCTTACATTACACAGGTGACCTGAGGAAAACAAAGATCTGCCAGGATTGGATGAGAACAGAATGGAGACATTCATTTCCCCAGCATAGGTGGTGTAACAAATCAATCTTGACTCTGCTGATAAATTGAACTTCAAGCTTGGCAAGGTTCCTTTTTAGGTGCAAACCAGTGTGAGACACAGCAGGAAGCCAAGGCAAAAGGGAACCAACATTTTTAGCATTTCATTTTCCAAAACAAAAACAAACACAGAACCCTGCTCAGTAGGAAAATCAGTTCTTCTCTACTCATGGCTCATCTTGTGTAAAAAATGTCTCCCCAAAATTAAAGCAGCAGATGGAGGGGGCTAGGTTCAGAAGCTTATCTGAACCCTTGGGAACAGGGAGGATATTTTAAAAGCCACTTTCAAATTCCAGAGAAGACAAATCGCGGTGCAATCTTCCAGTATCCAAACAAATGAACCCAAACCAACCCCTTATTCCCAGGGGAGTAGCTACATTATCTGATTGCAGCAAAAATAAACAGGAGTCTTGAGCTAGAATAAAGCAGAATAAATAAAAAATTGTTCATCTTGAAGGTACCGCAATACTCCTGTTTATTCTTGTTCCCCATTTCCTCGAATATCTATTGAAAGCTCAGGTCCCCCATCACCACCACTACAATGTAGACACGGGCAGGACTGAAGTGGTGTCTTCCCATGCAATCCTAAGCAGAGTTACACCCTTGTGATCCCATTGAAGTAAATGGATTTAGAATTGTGTAATTCTGTTTAGGATTGCCATGCTGGAATGTATGTCACCCTTGGGCACTGTTATGAGAGTAACCCTGGAAAGCACCCTAATTTATGAGTTTATAGTTCATTAGAGATTCTTTATCAGACAGGTAATACTTGGTAGATATTTTGGAGACCAGGCATAAATAATTATTTGCCCAAATCCCAAAGTCACAGGAACAAAACATAATGACTCAAGGGTGGCAGAAGCGACACCACAATGACTCAGAGCCCTGTTCCTTTCTATTGCTTTAACTGTGTCAGGTACTGTTTGAGGCATTTCTCTAGTTTAGAAATTCATCCAGCCAGGAAGCACTGGATGCGTTCAGATGGGGCGTTTCAGCCGGCATAAACTGTACCGGTTGGAACCGGTGCAGTTATGCCGGCTGAAACCCGATCACACTTACCTCCTGTCTGCGGAGCCCATCGCTGTATGCCCGTTCACATGCAGCGGGCGTCGGCGTGGGGTTTTTTTTAAAAAAAAACTCAGTTTGAGCATGCACCTAGGCAGCCATCCACAGAATGGTGATCTTTGCGCATGCGCAAAAATATCCCGTCTTACATTTAAACTTTAAAGGTAAGGACTTACCTTTAAAGTTTAAAGACCAAACTGGCCTCCCTGAAGTCCCGGACTCCTCCGAAAGGTTAAACTAAGGACCTTTTCTTTCTTTTTTTTAAACAAACGCCAGGGCAAAGCTTCGCCCAAGCGCATATCCCCGACCTTTAAAAAAAACGGTGGCCAAAAATCGGAAGCCTCAGGCTTCCGAATGGAAGTGGCTCTGCAACGGTGGAGAGCGATCAGACGGGGGTAAAGCGATTGTGGAAGTGAAAGTTGGTCTCTCAGGTGTCCAGAGGGGACCTCGTGGCAGAATACAATGGTGTAAAGCTCTTTGCAACGGTTAGGGACGGAAGGCAGATGTTCGCCGTGTGAACGCCAGTAAGTACACCGATTCCAACTGGCACCTATTCCATTGCAAATGCCCTGTCTGAACGCACCCACTAAGTACTTAAGGCTGCCTTGAGGTGGGGCCCAGACAGCTCTTGAAATTACAACTGACCTCCCCCCAAAACCCCACCCTCCCAAGGCTTTACTTCTCAAATCTCCAGGAATTTCCCAAACTGGAGTTGGAAACCCTGTAAGTACTATAGATCTCAGTGGCAACTGAGGTTCCTGAGCATGCTCAGAGGCTTTCGACATATTACTCTGAAAGTTGGAAGTGAAAGTTGATCTCTCAGCTGTCCAGAGTTTTCCCTCCTCATGGGTTAAGCTTAGGGAAGGTGGGGCAAAGGAAAATAGTGGCAGGGAATTTTTCCAGAACTGGTCTTCTGGGATTTTAGAGAATTCTTTGGAAAAGACTCAGAATTCTGTAAAAAGGATCATCAAGACTGAGTCCATTCCTGACTGAGATGCATGCATTTCATCTACCTTTAGAGCAGGTATGCTATTACACGCAAGTGCCTTGATGGAGCTGTGCGCTTCCTCTAAGTCAAAAGGAAAACATAAAAAGGAGGGGATGCATGGCATAAGCTTTGGCTGAAAGCCGATTAATAGAGTGGTGCATTGGCATCAAGCTGAAAGGTCTCATAATACACAAACAATGGCAAAGAAACCCCACGATTTAAAAATGCTCAGGTGGCAGGACAAGCTGAAAAAAGGTGAGGGGGCTGAAATCTGTTTGGCCCCTTCCTGTTTGGTCTTCTGGTGGACAAACAACACTTCCTAGTTCCAGAGGTCCTCTAAGCTAAGCTGATGTGCTTTTATACTAAATTTTTGTGTTTTTCTACACAAAAATTTAGTATAAAAGGACATCAGCTTAGTTTACAACTAATTTTTCTATTGACTTTCTACAGTTTTATAGTTTTTTTGCCGATATGTTTCGTGCTATTTTTAGTCCTATCTTAATGGTTTTCAGTGGAATACAGTGGGTTGCTGTGGGGGCCTTTATCAAGACAGGTTATAACCTCACTAAATAGATAAATGGTTACACCCAGGATGCATAGATGCACGTAACCAGTCCCTTTGCATTCTGAGATAACACAGTGAAAGTGCAGTTGAATAACTCCTTGTTTCAGTTCATAATAAAGGAGCATTAGATTCCCTTCTCTATTCATGGTTTTGCTTTGCCTTATCTTTTGTCCATATCCAATAGTACAGTGTTTCTCTGAAAAGGCTTCTCATCCACCTTTACAGCTCGCCAGTGATATTCCTTTTGCTTCCTTTCACCCAGCTGTTGTTGCAGCCACACTTGATGTAACGATGAGCATCCTTGTGTAAATACCTCTGGCTGCATTCTTTAGAAACCTTTTACATTTTCTACCACGCAGGTCGAAAATGAGGAATCATATATCTTCAGAATTATGCGAGAAGTGTTCCTCTGTTAGAGATATCAAAGCTTGAAAAACATTCAGGTAAGCACTATTGCCAAAACAATTTTATTGTGATCCACAGAATGGACCAAGAATTGCACATGTTTAGGTGTAATGATTCCAGCAAAACACCTTTTTACAATTTCAGAAAAGCAACTCGCAAATGCTCAGAGCTGTTTAGTGTTATCAAAAATGAGATACACAGTAGAGAGAGATTCTGTGGCATGAGTGAGTAGTCAATAGCTACATAATACTGCTGAAATTCCAGTGCCTTCCATAAAGGAGGTAGTGGGCAAATAGGTATAAAATCGGTTACAGAAAACAATCCAGGCCAAGCACTGAACACCATATTACCTTGGCTACAGCCATTTTCAAATGGAGTTTTCTTCATAATTGCAACTATAACCTGTTCAAGATACTCAAAATTGTATCGGGGGGGGGGGGGGTCACTCTTGCAGAATAAAATTCCACTGGGATTCATCCTTTTCATTTCTGCTGTTTCCCAGGCTTCTTTAGCTGTGAAGGATTTCTGTCTATCACTGTCATGCACAACTGCATGGGCCGATGGGGATTCTTATGGCCATTGAAGTGTAGGTCTCGATCCTGCAGTTAATGTAACACATGCAGGCCACTACACTGAACTAATTATTCTCTCACTACATTTTCTAATTATTTTCTCACTAATTATATTTTCTCACTAATAACTCACTAATTATTTTCTCACCAATGTAACAGAGTTACAGAGGTTTACGTGTTGGGAAGTAACAAAGTTTCCTCACCATGTCTTCATTACAGTCTTACACAGCTGCTTTTACTGCCGATCTGCCTTATCCTTAACTTAAGGGGGAGGAGGATAGCAGTTAATAAAAAATAGGAATATTGTATAAAATTAATTTTAAAAAGCAATAAATAAAATACTGTATGTAAATAGTCCAGCTATTTAACTTCAGCTACCGATCCCAGTCAAAACAAATAAAGAATAGCACAGTACTGCCTAACATGTTAGGGTTGCCCTTTCTTTCTCCTTGCAGGGGTCTTATGCCCTTAAAAGCTGCATCACAGGCAGACGCCATTTCCCACATGGAGATGGAGCAAAGAGTAAAGCTATATACAAGCTGAAGTTCTGACCAGAGTTCTAGCCTTTAATAGGACAAAGGGTTTCAATCCTGTTCAAAGCACCTCTTTCAAGGCGTCCAAAATATATTTAGGTTAAGGGCTAGAGGGCCAGCCTTCAAGAAAAATGGAATTACAGAAATGTAGAACATTTCCCAATGTTGCCTCCCTTGCCTCTGTAGTTTGCCATAGAGCAAGGATAATACTATGAAGAGGACATTCCCTGTCTGCCTTCAGGATTACAATGGATGGAAAGCTGCAAAAAGCCATTGCAAACTCTAGAATAGTCCTGGTCAAATGGGCTACTAACTGGATAGCTTTGCAAAAATAAACTGAGTGAATGATCTTGTCCCTTGATTGTTTCTACCTAATTCATGTGTGTTGACATGAGGACAGAGGCACACCACCAAACTGGCCTTTGACAGGAACAGTGAGGTAAAGCAGATCATCCACAAATCAGATGGCAAGGATGCCACTTGATGGTGAGCATCTGGCAACAGGATTTCCAAAAAATCTAGTAATATGGTGGAGGTGTGAGGCCTTTCCATCATGACGGTGGCTCAATAACTGACAAGACAAACATTTAGCATGTCACAGTGGCATGCCTGGAGAACTTCCTCATTACCAGAATTTGGGATGGTTCACATGTTACACATCACATTTGCTATCAAGTGTGTTCTCCACAGGGAGTCCCAGCAAATTAGTATCCACTGACTAGTTTCTGTATATCATAGATATGACGGAAAATGTGCTTGTTGCATTTTTTAGATGTACACTTATAACAACAATGCACACCCAAAAATGTAACATGCAATGTGCCCCTTTATGAAACATACCCACATAAGGAGTAACTCCTGATTATCCTATGACTAGGACATTTTTAGTTGGTATTGTTATGCTTTAAATAACCACAATTTTTATCATTTTTTTTATCATTTGCAGACCATTTCACTAGCGATTATAAGACAATAGTGTTTGTTTGCTTATTTACTGTATTTTAGTGAAGCCATAACTGTGTTCCTCCTGGTCTAACAGCTGGTTTTCAGCAAAAGACCTTGAAATAATGAATGACTTAATAACAACGTCAGTCTGGTTTTTTCCATTAGTAGATCTATAACTCAGATCCAGCAGTTCAAGTAAAGAACTCTTCTCTTTTGTTCTGCTTCATGAATAGAGAGTCATCATCATCCACTGCAAAGAATGAGAGAAATTAAGTTGCTTTATCATGGTGGTCTGCACACAAACATACAATTATTAGAGGGAGAGGGACCATGAGAATAGCTTAGTAAACAGTCTAGCTCAGCTTGGAGTGGCTATTGGCCTTGGTGCTGGTGAAGAACGGGCTTCAAGAATCATCATATAGCCTGGGTATTCCAAGTCCGGGACTCAGGTAAGTCAAGCAAACGTCACTGAGCTCTCACTGGCCTACTGGGAATCAGTATGGAGGAGGTGGAGGGAAATGCTGTCAAGTCACAGCCGACTCATGGGGACCAGTGTTCCCTCTAAGATGAGTTAGTGTGAACTAGCTCATATGTGTTCTAGCCTCTGGCTCACACATTTTTGTCTTTGCTCAGGAAGGATGGCTCCAGAGCAGACTAATTGATGCAGTAGCCAAATCGCTCACTCACAACTTTAATGCCAGTAGCTCACAAAGTAGAATTTTTGCTCACAAGACTCCACAGCTTAGAGGGAGCATTGATGGGGGGGGCAATCTGGTTTTCAAGGCAAGAGACGTATGGTTTGTCATTGCCTGACTCTGCATAGCAACCCTGGACTTCCTAGGTGGCCTCCCATGCAAATAATAAGCAGGGCCAGTCCTACTTTGCTTCGGGCTAGGCTGGGCCATCCAGGTCAGGGTTGTGTACATACATTTATATCAGTGGAGAGGAACTAGTTCCATTTCTAGCAGGAGCTAGAAATGCAGGAGCTCTTGTGATACTAAATGGCCAATGATTATATGCCCAGGCAGAGGACCAGACCACTGGGTTTATCATCCCAGGTATCTCTCCGGCTGAAGTAAAAGGTTTCTGTACTTTTTGAGAGGGCAGAGAAAAGGTGGACAAATAACTCTTGCAGATCCTTGAATCTCTGGCAGTACATTCGAAACTGTACTATCAGGTGTCCATCACCTGTGTGAAAATGGTCAGGTCCAAATCCAGCGATATCACTTGCCCCCAGCTCTCAGACCTTCTGGCACTCGGAATAGGAACATAACATTTTGGAGGTACATCTGCTTCCCCCAAATTCAATCCCTGACATCCCCAGTAGTCAGTGATGTGGAAGGCCTCTGTCTGAGAACCTGAAGAGCTGATGCCAGCCAGAGTGAAAAATAATGACCAGAGCACCTTCATGTGTTCGTGGAAGGGAAACTGATGTGATTGGATCAGGGTGCAGTGAGAAACTTTAATTTAACTCTCTAGCGCAGATAAAAATGTGTTGGTTAAACTAGATTTCATTAAACAAAGTGATCTGAATAATTTTCCCTTGATTGTGTTTGTTAAAACATTTCAGATGAGGGGCTCCCCTCTTGCTTACTCTGGCTGCGGTCACACACAACATTAGCCACGCAAGAGATACGGAAGACAAGCGGAGTTTCCGGTCGCGATCTCACCAGCACATCTGGGAAGCGTAGCGCTTCCGTGGCACAACTGAGGCTTCCTGCCGAAAAAGCGCAGCAAAAAACTAGTACCCTGGAGGTACTAGTTTCCAGAAACTGCGGGGCAAGGGCGGGCGTCTGATCGCGTTTCCGGTGGCATCCGGCGCCCGCCCATGTCCCCTTGCGGAAAAGGGGTTTTTT